TTTTTGCTTTATTGTAGAGATGAGGTCTAGCCAAGTTGCCCAGGCGGGTCTCGAACCCGCAGGCTCAGGCAATCCACTCACCTCAGCCTCCCAAAGGCGCTGGATTACAGGCTGAGCCACCGAGCCCGTCTAAACCTCTTGATCCTTCCATCTTCCCATCAGTAAAATGGGAAGAAGAATTCTCGCTCCTTCCCCCTGCAGGGCTGTAGGCATGAATCAAAACCACGCGTGCAGCTCCCAGCCTCCGCCTTGGCCGACCACTTTCTGAGTCCCATGCTCTCCTGGGACATATTCCTGGGGGGTTCTGTCCTTCCCCACCCCTGTCTGCCAGACCTCAGGACCCCAGACCACTCGATCTGGCACATGGGCCCCACCCCGCTCTCCAGTCCCGGCTGCCTGCCCTCGTCTGATGCTCTGGTCTCTGTGTCCAGTGCAACGAGAACAAGTCGGACTGCTTCTACCAGACGTACTCCTCAGGAGTGGATGCGGTGAGGGAGTGGTACCGCTTCCATTACATCAACATTCTGTCCAGGCTGAAGGACACCTTGCCGTCCCTGGAGGAGGACGCCCTGGGCAACTTCATCTTCGCCTGCCGCTTCAACCAGGTCTCCTGCAACCAGGCGTGAGTGCGTCCTGCCTGACTCGGTGGCACAGGGCTGCCCGCAGGGTCTCCGTCCCTGGGTCAGCCCCTGGCCCTACATGGGCGGGGCCTGGGCGAGGCTTGCTGACGAAGTGTTTGCCAGTGGCCCTCACGCCCACACCCTGCCCGGTGGGTTGCCCTGCAGGCTTCTGCTCTTCCCGGCAGCCGGGCGATGCCCCGGAAAGACGGGCTCGAGACGGGCTTTGAGAAACCAAGGGCTGGGCAGTGGCTCACAGTCTTTCTGAGGCCCCTTTCTCCAGGGGCCTGGGGGATGAGGCTGGCAGTGGTAGCATGTGGGGCAGCGTGGATGGAGTGCCCACTCTGGCTCTGCTGCTTCCCGCCCGGGTGACGCTGGGCATGTCACCTCACTGTTTAGAGCCTGGTTCTTTGTGGATGGAAGCAAAACAGAACCTAGAAAACACGATTTCAGCTGGGCTCGGTGGCTCAGCCTGTGATCCCGCGCCTTGGCAGGCCGAGGGGAGTGGATTGCT